CCCCAAAACCCCAAAACCCCAAAACCCCAAAACCCCATTTGGGTCTATGGTTAGGTAATAACTCACTAGAAAAACCTATAAAAGGAAATAATTTATACAAAATATTAGTAAATTTGATAATTACTAATCAAAAGCTTGAATGTACACATAACCCAATATCTTGAACGATAAAAACTTTTTTGCGATTTCTCAGAATTCTTAGTATGGCTAGCTGTTAAATGGCTAAAGACCACTCCTTGTCCCTAACAAACTTATTTCTCCTTAGGTAATCTAAAGTCAAATGAAGCTACCATTCCCTTGGATTCACATGAATTAACAGATTCAGCCAACAAACTATAATTATATGTAATCAAATTATAAATAACTCGTTCTAGTCTTAATTAATAGAGGCAAGCTCCCTAATCGCTGTATCAGCATTAATTGCAGTTGAATTATGTTCAAGGACACTAATAATAATAACTGAGATAGACTTATGGTTAACCTTCTTAGGCGAGAATAATTTAGACACCTTAAAATATTTCAGATATTCTGCTCAATCATCAATCACTACTTACTCAATAAAATACTGGAATTATGTCATATCCACTCACGCACTCTTCAATGATAAGTTCTGGTTAACAACATAATTAATAGCCAATGATGTAGGGTAATGAGTTGGGTAGTGAGTAGATGGGAATTTAGAATGAATCTCATTAGGCTTTGAGTGATTTGAGTAAGCAGTTGCTTAATCAGGACCACGGGAGTGAATTCCAAAAATAAAACTTCCCTCTAGATCAAAGATCAGAACTATAAATAACAGAAGTCCTTACAAAAACTCGCAGAAAAGAGCTAGAAGCTGCCTTAAAGAAGACAACTTCTGAAGATCAATTAATTTTATAAAGTAAATTAAAAAGAAAGTAGACGAAGAGCTCTAGAGGATCATAGTATCGTGGAGTATCTAAAAATGGGAAAAAATGGCAGGTAAGAAAAAATACATTTAAATACTAACTATGAAATAGGTATAATTACTTGGAAATCTAAAAAAACATTATATTGGTTCGATTTCTACAGAGATCAAAGCTGCGAGAATCTACGATAAACACGCAATACTAACTCATGGATTAAGAGCTAAGACAAATTTCTAGTACACCAAATCTCAAATTGATCGTATACTTGAGTAAGAGCTAGAAAATTCTGAAATTGAAGACATTATCTCGGTAGACCAAAATGAATAAAAAACACAAGACGAGGATTATTAACTTTCACTTACATTATCTCTGCAAAACAATGATTTAAGATAATAAGATGTTACATAATCTAGTATTATATATGAAAGCAATATAATGGGAGAGCAATCCTAAGAAATTTACAAAACTTCTACGAATTAAAATTTCTGACAAGGGGCTATTTTCATTAGTAGATTACTTCAACATAACTTTATATGAAATATATAATGTAATTAAAGATAGATTAAATTATTATTAAAATATTGAAAGTTTTAAAAATGTTCTAAAAAAAGTAATTTCTATCACCCATTTACAGTTACTCTTGTCATACGGGGTTTTGGGGTTTTGGGGTTTTGGGG